ACTGAACAAGCAGATTAGCTGCTAATGGGTATTCAGCAGGATAGTCCAGAGGAAAATCCCAGAAATGTATATGATGTGTGATTAGGAYCTTAGTGCCAATTCTTCTGTTCCATTAAACAAAGGAAATGTTGCATTGTTTCATGCATACACATAATAAAATGAACTTTGCAGGTGCCTTATCTTTATGCTGGGTGATATCTCATCCCATAAAATAAAACCCCAGTAAGGGAATGTTTATATAACTAAAAAGAGGGTATAAACTTCTTATGTTTCTCAAAAGGTGAAGCACTCTGGTCCAAAATTACTGTCTGCCCCAGAATGATGGTCAGTGCAAATTTCTCACAAGATCTTCCTCAGCACCTTCTGTCAGGAAGCTGTCATTACCATAAATAAAGCTCTTTTCCAGAGGTGTTGACATGTCTGAGTAGTTGGTGACACCCCTGTGTGGTCAGCAGGACATTTTTATATTTGTGTGTGGCAGTTCTTCTCTTTTATGTGCTGGTATGGCTCACTGATGGCCAGTGGTTTTTGGGTTACGTGTTTTTGCGTATTGTATTCTTACATACACTTTATGTGTGCCAACAGTCCTGTCAAAAAGACAGAGTTTGTCTACTGTTAACTCTTTGGCACCTTTGGTATATGCTTGTCCTACTCCCCTATTTTCAGTCACATGATATTTGAACTGTACATGGAAATTAAGAAATCTGAAAGGAGAAATTAAGCTTATTTTGTAGGGCTCTTTGCTTAAGATTTTTATTTTTCTGACTTAGAAAGCACCTCATGGGTTTTGAAATAGTCCAGGCTGAAGACACTGCTCTGCTTTATTATAGAAAGCTAAATTCAGTCTCTCTGGGAAAATCCAGAAACAATTTCTCTTGCTTACAATGTGCCAGAAATTGTATAAATTTGCAAATGATTATTTTTCCCTCTTGGGGCATAACTTCAGAGTAAATTGTCAGTTTTTGCAGAACCTCATAAATCTTCCTACCCTACAGTGAAAAGAATAGGTAGTCATAAAAAAMCCCCAAAAAAAMCAACCAAAAAAAAGCCCAACAACTTAGTCATCTGTTCAGCAGAACAGCTTTTTACATTTTATTTACCATATATTTCTTGCTGTAACAGACTTGGTCTCATCTGTGAAGAGATTTTCAGCATTGAGGCTTTACATGTAAATGTCAGAMGAACTTGAAACAGATGTACAATATTTCCTATTTTTAAGCACAATACAGTCCTATATTTTCCATACATTGTATAAGTTTCTAGTAGAGAGAAGGCAATGGTATTAAAGTTACTGGACATCCGGTATCRCTGCACAATGTAAGCTGAAGTTGTTTTTTGTATTAAATAGAATTCTTTAGATTGAAGCTCAAGCAAATGGTTGCAAATATGATACATCTTGAGTAGGTGAATGCTCTCTTCTACTTTTGAATCCACTGTCATACTTCTCTCCAAGTGTTTCAGGATGGTTTTAATTTCTGTTGCAGTTTAATTTCATTGAGTGATGTTTGTAGAAGGGCAAAGTATTTACACCACCTTGTCCTATTTTAATTTACATTTCTGTGGTTACTTCACATTACTAATTTTCATCAATTAGGTATTAAAATCTCAAAATCTACTTGTATAAGAATTGAAATTTGGAAATGCGGTACTAGGGGTGTGCATTTATTAGCATGATTTACAAATTTCATATTTGGGAAAATACTCGAAAGACAGCATGTGGAGATGTTACCAAAGCATATGACTATGTGCACAGTAGTTTTTCCAAAAATGGTTGTCATAAATTCTGTCARTCATGAATGCTGTCATTCAGCAAACATACTCTGTCATCCTTAAAAGACAGCAGAGATGACCTAGTGCCCAATGAGTAGGGAAAGGCAAGTGTTGTGCTTATCTTCAAAAAATGCCCCAAAAATACAGCATRAAGAACTAGAGGCCAGTCAGCAGTACTTATGAAACAAAACATCTTGGAACACATTTTTAGATGCAAGGAGGGGAGGAATTGCCTGAAAATGCATTTTTGCCTCACTGAAATTTTTCCTTTGTCAGTGGACTTACACCAAATCTCCTGTCTTACTGAATTCAGAAAGCTGTTATATGTAAGTGCTSCATACATTATTACTTATCCAGAAGTTAGAGGTGTGAGGTAACTGTTTTTATGATGCATAATTTTATATTAATAAATAATTTTATACTAATATGAAAGGTAATCCCTGGATTGCACATTGATTGCATTTTGTGCACTGACCAGTGGTTTTTAATTTCCCTAGATATATCCTTTAAATAACAAAGATGTGAAAGACAGATATTGTCATCTAATGGTCTGATTCAAAAAATAAATTCAACTGACAAGGCAAACTACTATCAAATAAAATTAGATATTTGGGAGGAAAAAACCYGCTCTGTATTGCATCTTCAATGGAAGTGTGCTGAGGTTGCACTGTCTGTTACCACAGACCATGAAATGTTTATCTCTAGAGTCACTCGTTGTGCTAATGCAGTAAATTAATAAAATTTTCAATTTGATGTAGCAAAAGCAAATATCTGGAACTGTCTGGTTGCAATTAAATTTTGATGCTTACTTGTTTAGCTTCTGGGTTTTTAGTTAGGCAGTTACTCTCTACAACTACTMCATAATCAAATAAAACCTTAATGATTTTCCTTAAATACTTACTTGGATTCCAATATCCACTATTAGGGAAAAGAAAAATTGTTTTCAGTTGTTTGCTGGCTATAGAGAGCCAATGACTAGTTAAAAGTTACATTGTGCCACCTCTTGAAAACCTATTTTTTATTGCATGAATTTACAATTGTATAATATTTTTCTTGAAGATGGGTTAAACATGACTCAGGGCATCTTTTTGTTGGGTTGATTTTTTCCTTTTTCCTTTTTTAAATTTCACTGATAAAGATATATACAGGGTAAAACCAGCTTCAGCATTGGCACTTCTGTTTTCTTTGAGAAAGTAGGAGGTAACTTAGGCAGCTGCTTCTGACATCAGAGCTGATGGAAGCTCAGACTGGATAAAATCAAGATGTAGGCTGAAAAAACAAAAAATTATGGATTTGAGACTTTTTGATTTACTGTGTCTTTTAGTTATTCAAGTTCACAGTCTAAGTAAATCACTAATTTCTGCCAAAGTTGGGGAGCTGCAACTCCTTGTTTTGTTTAGTTTTTCTGCTTTTTCGAGCTAGAAATATGAAATTGTCCAGTCAGTTAAAGTTTTGTGAAATCCAGTATGAATTAGTCTAACTAATTGCTGAGTAAACAATGTCTGCGTAAGCTATGTAAAATTGAAATTCATGTTCTGGAGACAATAGTGCTTTGCATGGAGTTTCGAGATGAGAGCAAATTATTCTACAACTTAGAAATTAAGTGACTGTAGTGCTTTCTTGCTTCACCACAATATGTCAGAACTTCAGCATCCTTTAACCAGTGGCATACTGAAATAATCATTAAGATTGTAGAAATGACAAAGGAATCAATCAAGTCTAGGCCTTTCTTTGCATATTGTATTAATATGCTCTTTACTTCAAAGAACATACWGTCTACATGAGGAAAAACAGATGTGAATTTATGAAGCACTGCAGAAGACAGGAAGAGCAGCAAGCACAAGTGWCACTGACATGGTATTGTCCACTTGTTATGGACATAGTGGTGGAAGTTCAGTTTAAATTAAAAAGAATGGGCTTTGAATTAGAATGAGGAGGTCCTAGGCAGTAAGAACAGTGAGTGCTGCTGGGGGAGAAGTAAGCAGAGAAAAGCAAATGTGGAAGAAGAGGGAAGGCTGGAGGAAACACTTGGTGCAAAATGGATATGATCTGGTCAACTCTGAACAGTTTTAATGTGCAGAGGGGTTTGGTTGCTCTTTGAAGCTGTCCCTGCTGCCTGGCATCTGTCCCACTCCTCCCCCAGCAGTGTGCTGAAGAGTGCTAGGATATCGTTGGRGATCCTGTTTCCCAAGTACATGAAGGAGTCCCCAGCAAAATTCCCCACCCCATGGCCTCTGCCAGACCTCATCTTCCCCTTCTTGCCAAGCACAGAAGTCCCTGATGTAGCTCCTTTTGCACCTCCAAACATCTGAAGTTCATGCCTCCTCCAGAGCAGCAGAACTAAAGCAGAAATCTAAGAACAGGGTGTATTTGTATTAGTTCAGACTGCTGTTGTCTTCTTTTAGTAGATTTTTATTAATATTTGTATAATAATGWATCTTCTGGAAAACAAGATAAATAAAGTTAAATGTTTAATATAGTCCTTTATGCTATTATAAGATAGCTTTAAAAAACTTGTTAGAAGTCTTGTTGAAATACTTGGGGTCTTAGRAGCGTTCATACTGGAAACAAAACTAAGTTTTGAAATGCAAACTTGTGGAGGAGGTAACAGGGTGTCTGTTCATATGATGGTGTATCCTTTCCCTTTTTGAGAAAACCAAAGCACAGTCCATCTTTAATGCTGATAACTCCCCATTAAAAATCTTAAGTTGCTGAAGGACTGCCTCTTTCTTTCAGATGTGATAGAATTCATATTAGCACTACTTTTCCCTTGTTTCTGAATTATTTTAATGACAGCAGCCGCTCCACCAAGTTGTCTGTCAAGATGTGGGTGGCAGGCTGTTATTTCACTTCATAAATCATAATTTACAGGGGTTTTTATATCCATCTTGGGGATAAACACTTTATGCTTTGTGTTTTCAGCAGCAATATAAAATGTAATTGATACTTGAAGCAATATGTTAGAAATATGGACAGAGAAAGCCAGAGAGAAAAATCACAAATGTTTAGTTTYTCTGTGGGTTGGTCTGCATACTGAGCATTTTTTCCGTCTGATTTCATATTCTTAGCACTTCAACAGAGGATGATGATGAATTGCATTTACATGATTGCTGCCTGTAGGTTACTATAAGAATGTTTAGTTACAGACAGTCAACAGACTCAACAGGGTTATGTTGTACCATTTCTCATGCTGCTAAATAAACTTAGCACTTTGTACTATTGTCTTACAGATTCATGAAAAACTGCATTATTATGAAAAACAGAACCCGGTGCCCATACTCCATGGTGCAGCAGCTTTGGCAGATGATGTAAGTGTCCCCTGCTGAGATCACTGGTACCAAGTCTCCCAAAAAACTGTCTGCAGGCAAAAGTCTTCATAGTGCACACATATGAATGTAATCCTGTGAGCTGAAATCGTAAGAAGCTGTAAAGATTTCCAAAGCTTCTGTCATTACTGAGCCTGTTGCTGATACTACTTTGATTTTTATTCACTTGCATGTTATCAAAACATTGCATCTAGATAACCTCTTGTTTTGTTTTACTAACTAAGCAATAAAAATTACAGGTTCAGACTCTACTGGGAGGGGAAAAGCTGTCGACTGTTAGTATTTTGAGAAAGTCACAGACAAGAGGAATGCTTTGTAAAAATAAAGACAAATGAGATAGCAGCATTGCTGACAGAACATGAGAAACTACAAATAATATTACAGAAATGAAGCATATGAAACGCCTAGGATGGAGGCTTGTTAAAAAAAAATCAAAACTATTTAAGAAAAGGTACAGTAGTGATTTATTGATATTGGAGCTCTCCAAATTACCTTCATAACCAAAAAAATAAATTGTAAAAGTGGTCAACATTGATGGAGTAGTTAATTTCCTGTTACTATAATTTTTATTTTAAAGAAAAAAATCCAACCTGCCATTTCTTGCTATTTGGTTAATTCTGGGATTCAGATGAATTGTGAACACACCTGTATAAACTATGACTGAACCTGAGGTAGGTCAGAATAGAGAAATGTTTAATAAACTGTGGTTTAGGTGAAATCCAGAAATCTTTGTTGCAATTGATGATGTCAGGTTGCCTTTTGAAAAGGCAATATGTATTAGGATCCATTTCAAATACAGCATGTCTGAAACTTTACATGCAGTTTAGATGTTTTAAAATCCTAACTATTTATATAATTGATAAATTTTGATTTTTAAATTTTACAAATGACTAAACTTGTGAATTGAGATTGGTAGCATTTTAACAAAAAACTAAGGTAAACTTATTTGAAGACTATTSAAAAAAGGATACACAGTAATATAATCATGTTTCAGTAGGAGGAGAGCTATGTGCTGTAACACGAACTATAATAATACATTAGCCTTGACATCAGGCATATATTAGTAATATTTTTTTAACCTTCACATAACTTTGAATAATGTTGATAGTAATTTTGAAAATTAGAAGCTGCTTGAAATTCTCTTCATTAAGTTCTTGCTGACATATTAATAATCCTTGCTAGTATTTGTGTTATGGATCTCTGGATTCAAATTCTTAAGAATGATTTCTTATTTTTGGATGTAAAACTTAGTTTTTGATACTTTCACAAATGCTGAGTAATCTCATTCTTTGTTCAGACCCATTTAAAATGTATAGTTTTGGAAACTCCAAATTTAAGTGCTCTGCCACTCCTTAGTTGAGAGGTTGTGGCTTTTAACTCTATGAATGTATTATTATGTACATATGATAGTATTTTTAAGTGTACATGTTGGGACACGATTGTCTCTAGACATCTACCTACTTTATATGTACAGCTTCTTTTTATGGATACTCTTGCTGGTTCTTCATTAATTATGTGTAGCTGAACTGCAGATTTTATGGGCACTGTCCCATAGGGTGAGGATGACCTTTGGTGACTGAAGTCAGGCTAGTGCACCACATGATTTCTATGTTTTGATAATTATCAGCAAATTTTGAGGAAGCAAAATTACATGCAGTGAGCTTTTTAACTCTAAAACTCATGAAATTTCAGGATTAAAGTGCTGTTAATTTTCTGACATGTTTRTCTGACTGGTGGTCAACTTCTGGGGTCTAAGAGCATGTTGGTGTTATAAAACACACTTTCACTTCAATAGGCTTTAAATTAATGTTTTCTCTTCCTCCTGATAGTAGCTGTTCTATAGTTAAAGAAGTAGACATTCATATTGGCAAGATATTACCTGGTTGATTTAAACCCCAAATTTGAGGTGTTGCTATATCATACTTAAACTGTTTAAGGAGTGTGTTTTTATTCTTGTGTTACTTTTTTAAAGCCGTTTTAGAAGTAATAATTGTGGCAARGCTTTTCTAAGGTTTTCGTTTTCCTGGCTGCCATACCTTCTCTCCCCTCTCCCCCAGGGACTTTTAGGCTGAATTTCCCATCCGACATTCTGTTTGCCTCTTATTTTGGAGCAGCAGTGYCTGACTGAGGGCTCAATGATTTAATGCAAATGATCCTGGTTCCAGCCAGGACAGGGTTAATTCTTTGCGCTAGTCAGGAGGGAGCATGGCTAGGACATGGAGGTTATTCCACCTCACTTTATTTCTGGGAGTGGGGAAAGGGACTTTCTTCCAGGAAGAAAGGGTTTGTTCCAGAAAAGGGAATGGAGGGAGCTGTCTGGTATTGTCTATTAACAGGGATTTTTTTCCATGTGAATAATTTCTTTTCTTTTACCTTTTGTTATTAATATTGTTGCTGTTACTGTACATTTCSTTATCTCATCATTTCCAGTAAATTGTTCTTATCTCATCCCGTGATCTTTGCCTTTTGTTCTTCCAGTTGAAGGGTGAAGGGAAAGTGGTGCATGGTGTTAGTGGCAGTGCTACATTGGAGAATACCATTCGTAAAGTATGACAGTGTCTCTGGCAGGATAGGTATATACAGCAAATAAGGCCTCTAGATTGTTAGAAAGAGTGTTCTGGCAAAAAAATTTCAGAACCTTCTCCAGAAGCTTTAAAGACCAGTCCCTGGTGCTCCGCACCTCACCAGCCTCCCACATCTGGCCCTCTCCCTTGCTTTTGTTCCCCTCTCTGTAGTGGCAGCTTTTCATAATGAGCTTGTTGAAATGTTATGGTTCCTTCATGAGACCATACATGAGGTTTTCAGATGGCTTTTCCTTAGGTCTTTAGCATAGGAGGAGATCKGCACAGTGTCGGTGTGTCCAAATGTGCCATAGACCTTGTACTGCTCTGGTTACTGTTTCAAATCTCAGCACTTTAACAACAACAACAAAAAATCCAGTCTAAAACAGCTCAGGTCATCCGTGCTTGCTAATTTGAAAACACAACTTCATCTTTCAGTCTTTGTGTTTCTCCTCTTCTATCACAAGGTGTTAAATGTGCCCTAAAACTTCCAAGAAAATATTTGGAAAACAATGTGAATCAAGGGAAGGACAAGTTTTTAATTATTTAATCTCTGAAAAAWGTATCTGAAAAATATTTTCTAAATTACAAGATTAAAATGTCTGTTAAAGCAGTAAATTTTCTTTTTTTCTATTTCTCACTGTTCTAAACCTTATGAATGTGCATTTGCATTTGCACCACCAAAGCAAACACCAGTTCTTCTGAAGTTAATAGATGCTTGTGCACAATTCATCTGAGAGAGGCATGATGAAAGGGTCCTTCTACTGAGTGGTATTCTTGTCTTCATCAGTGAAACACGAATGAATGGATTTTATTCTTCAGAGACGAGCAGTGTAACCTAAAGAATGAAAAGAGAAACAAGGTTAACCCATGTCATATACCTGCTGTCATTCCTGTTACAGAATATTTTCACCTTTGAGGTGCTTTTTCATAGAGCATGCAGACTCAGTGCCAGTCAGATTACCTCTATATTTGGCTTTGTGTCTGAAAATATTTCTTTCTGACCTTTCCTACAGAGATTGTTTTGTAATCTTTTGGTATTAAGACAGAAATATTGTTAATATTAGCACCGAGGTACTTGCTGGATGTTTTTAGCTATGAATTACAGTTAAAAGTCTGTAGGGTGGTAGGTGATGAATTTTTTTTTTACTCTGTTTAATTTGAAGGTTAAAAGAAAAAAATGTATTCAAACTATCTGATGTCTGTAATGACTTCTAGATTTCTCCATTATATAAAATTATGCAAAATACACATCTATCCATTTATCTTGAAAATGTATACAAAATGAAAGTACAAATTTAAAATTAGGCTAGACAAATAAAATTACTTGCTACAAATAGCCATTCTTTCTTTGAGACATTTTTATGACACTGATTTAATGCAAGGAAAATAAGTGATTATCTGAAATCACGTTTTGCATTATGAGCCATGTAGCTTCAGAATTTTAAACCTAAGCTCAGTGTGAAATGTATTTTAGCTTTTTCTTCTTCTGGAAAAATAGTTTGAGTCTGAAATCCTGCAGTAAAATATGCCTCTTGAGTCCAAATTAGTTGAGAATGGCATGATAAGAAAAACCCAAGACATGAGCCAAATAGCCGTATGATTAAATGTTAAACTGCTGCTCTATTGTTCAGCAAGCCACAATTTTGTAGTATAACCAAACATAAATTACTGATCTTGTTCTTAGGACATAGTTTGTGCATTTTACAGGCTTGAATTGCTGATGACCTGTTATAAATTATATTATGATTAACCCRCTTCACATTTAACAAGCTCCTTCCAGTGTATGTGTAAACATAATAAAAGGTTCAGATTGCTTGCACTGTAGGGGCACTTTGCTTTCTTATCCCAGTCCTAAACAGCACAGCTACTGTGGGTTTTTGGAAGCAGTGTGGATTTCACCACCTCATTCGAAACTGTTTTTTATAGACAGTGTCAAAGTTTGATCCAGTCATTTTACAAGTACTTCTTTGTCTGCACGCAAAGGACCATTCACTTAAATGAAGTGCTGGGATTTGCCCCCTTTGCTATAAATCAGAATGTGATCTGGCTGCACCCTTGCCAGAAATGATTACTTGTGTTAAACTGAGCCAAAAGGCCTGGCTTAAATCTGGTCCACTGAGGGCCAGAAACAGAAGCGTGGTGATTGATGGTATTTTCCTTCATACTGGCTTCTGTTTGAACATGCTGGAAAGCAATAACCTTGAACAAGATAGATTCTGAGTTGTCACTGATGCCCTGGGTAAAACAATGCTTTGCTAATGGTCTTTGTGTTGATTCCATCTCCCACCCAGCTGGCTGAGGAGCTGCAGAGCAAACCACTGAGCAGTGAGATCAGAGAGCTGTTGAAGCTTCTTGCAAAACCCAATCTCAAGGTGAGGATGAGTTGCACCTGCAAAGCGCCTTCTGCATGGGTGTGTGCATCTGCTTTCGTGGGCTGTGCGTGGGTTTGTGTACTTTAACAAGTATGTGTGCTGTTTAATAAAGTATGCMGTGTTAATCAGAAATATCTGCCATGAAGAAATGTATTTAATGTTGCTCATAAAGGATACTGTTACTCTTACTTATAAAAGGAATGCCTTATTTACAAGGGATATTTAAAAAAGTAGATACTTAATTYTTTTTCTTTTGCTATTTTTTAATGCATGTGCTTTGTAAATTTATTATAGMTATGCTTTTACTAAAAGATTGTCAGTCATATCATTGATTTAACTGATCATGCATAAGAACTGCAGCCTGGTACTTGGGACAAAATTCATGATGGATAATGTTTTTAAAAACATCTAATTTTGAAAACTTTCTGCAAAACTACTAGGGTTCTCTGTGGTGTTTTCAAGGAACCTGATACCTTTAATCTGACAGTAGACTTTAGAACCAGTGAATCACTGAGGTTGGATGGAGGTTGGGTGGTTCAACATGCTGCTGAAAGCAGGGTTAACAGTGAGTTCAGAGCAGGTTGCTCGGGGCTTTCTCCCATCAGGTCTTGGAAATGCCTGGGAGCAGACGTTCTACAAATACTCTGTATGGCCTCTTCCAATTCCTGATTATGTTCCTAGTGAAAACTGTTTCCTTATATCTACTCAGAATCTCCCCTGTGTATCAGTGTTGATGCACAGGATTGTATTATTTTTCTATTTTTAAGAGAAAGAAGACCTTAGTGCTCTAGATGTATATTGCAATGGTAATTCAATGTAGCAGTTGATAAGTTGAAATGAAAACTGCCAAGTGGAAAGGAGCCCCTTTTAAGACAGATTCTCTTTTATCCTACCTGTAAAACATTGATTTCAAAATCTGAGAAACTATGATACCTTCAAAGTGCTAAAAAAATTTAAAGATCCATTACACCTGCTTTTTGAAGATTTTTGCACTGACGGTTTCTCCATAGTTTGTTAAGGTGACAAGCTGGGTTTTTTTTTGAGGAATAAGTAATGCCAGTGGCATATGAGAAGAGAAATTGTTGATGCRTGAATTGCAGCGATCCTAAGCTTCGCTGTAGGTATTTCCTTAGTGACTGTCTACACATGCTTCATGCTTCTGAAACTTTGGTGGATTGAGTCTGAAGATCGCTCATTTGCTGCAACTGCATCTCTCCCTCTCCTTTTCTTGCTTTCTCTCACTCATTCCCTCACTCACTCACTCACTCGCTCACTCACTCACTCACTCACTCTTGCTCTCTGTTCCTTGGTAGCAGTGAAAGGCAATGTGATAATCTTAGTGGGATTTCAGGGAAACAAATGCCTTCCCATGGTTAATATAATTGAACAACTGCAGTAACTTAGCAAATGACTTTCTTGGCTGCAGGGGAAGATGGCCAGCTGCAGGGTACCAAGCCCTTTGCATGGCCAGACTGCCTAATCCTGCACATTGCGCACATTTTCCTGCCCTGCAGGGACCTTGCAGGTGTTTCTGTTGTACCTTGCAGGTGTTCGTGTGAGGTAGGGGTTAAGAGCTGACAGTATACTCTTGCCTGTTCATTGTCTTCTCTCCCTGCCATGCCATGGCAAACCTGCCTCAGAGAGATGGTGAATTGTCACTACTCCCTCCTCCATGACGTTGACCAGGTGTACTGCATTCAGTCAGAGTCTGTAGTTCAGATTCTTCTATTGATCTCCCCTGCTCTGGCTTGGACAGAAAAAGAAAGGAAGGACATTTCTTGGATTTGGTAGTTCCAGTTCTTCCCCAGAGATGTTCTAGTCCCTTCAGCTGTATCTGAGTTTATACCATACATTGCRTAAGTTTTTGCAGGTCTTTGCTATGAGGTTGACAGATAGAGAGGGTTTCTTTATACTATTCCAGATTCCTGGGGCAAAATGATGGCTAGAACAGCTCTTTTTCACACATCTAAAATTACTTGGGCTAACTGATCTATCTTTTTTCCAATGATGTTCCAAAGACTTTATCTATAAACATATAAAGCTTCATTTGGGATTGACTTAAGGTGGCTGTACATTGTTTTGCTGGGAAACTTTGCTCTCCTGACCAGATTTATAGCTGCAGTGTTAGCTGGAGCCAGGAGTGCTTCCACTTTCCTACAGCTCTGCTCTAATGTTTATGGCATGGTGAAGGATGGTTAGGGATTAGTTTACTGCACTACATCAGTGCCTCAACAAGTCTGATGATGTAASGGGACAAGTCTAGCAAGGTGTTTATAACTTTGCAGGTTTGGTTAATGGGCAAAAAATGGCTTGGAGAGGCTTCTACTCGTGTCTGATAGGTAAATATTTCTGTATTTTAATTCTGCATTACAGAATTCTTTTGTTGAATATTTCTGAGTGTTTGCATCTGATGAGTAAAACTTTGACAAGTTTGTGGTGCTTGTCATTTTCATCCACAGAGAAGTTTTCTAAAGAACATAGTTTCTCTGAGGCATTTATCAGACCTGAGATTTTCAAAATGCCCTAAAAGTAATTCCAAGGTTTTGTCAGGTGTATTTTTTCCTAAAAAAAAAAAAAAAAATTAAAAAAAAAATTGGTAATTTCTAGTCTTCTAAAAACTGCATGAAGTATCCAGTTACTGAGTGAGTTTTTTTTTGTCCCTGCTCTCAAATGTGGCATCACTTACCGTAATTAAATGAACTAATAATGGTTGTGGTTTATCTTTTCTGATTAAAAAGGAGCTCTGGAAGTAGAACAGAGCATGTAGCTCTGGGAAATCAAGTGGATTTGTTTAACTGTGTGTTAGGCATTTCATTTGCATTCTGGATTTAAAATATAATTGTGGAGCCCCATGGACACAGGCCAGCCACACCTCTTATTTTTAATTTTCAGCACTGAATAAGGACTTAGAGTTTGYATTCTTTAATCTTGCTTTACCTTGTTAAAGATATCAAGAAATTGAATAGTGTTTCCATACCCTAGAACCTAAATCCRGTTGAATATAGTATTAAAGCAGACCAGAAATCAGCTCTTTGAAACAGAATTATAGAATAACCTGAGTTGAAATGTACCCACAAGAATCATCAATGTCCAGCTCCTGGCCCTGCCCTGGACACCTGACAAATCCCAAATGAGCCTGATGGCATTTTCCAAATATTTTTAGAACTGTCAGGCTTGGTGCTGTGACCACTTCCATAGGGAGCCTGTTCCAGTGCCCAACCACCCTCTGGTATCCAACTTAAACCTCCCCTGGCACATCTTTGGGCCATTCCTTCATGTCCTGTCTCTGGTCAGAACAAAGAGACCAGCATCTGCCCCTCCTCTTCCCCTCACAAGGAAGTTGGAAYTGCAGTGGTCTCSTCTCAGTCTCCTCCAGGCTGAACAGACCAAGTGATCTCATCCGCACCTCATACAGCTTCACTTCTAGACCTTTCACCAGACAGAAACTGCACTTGCAGAAATCTAAAATACATTTACCAAGAGTAGGGTAGGAATACACAAGTCTGATCTGCTGGTGTTTCAAATCACTCAAACACGCCCTTGCTTAGGTCCAGGCATCATTATGACCAGAGCTACACAGCACTGCCCACAGGCTGGCCTGGCCTGACCRTGAATGTATGTATCCCTAAGTTTTATGTCTTCAAGGTATGCATTTTATTGCAGTTTAATTAAACAACCAACCAAATGCCCACACACCTCACAGTTTCAAGGAACACAAACATGACAATTTAAGTTTCAATACATTTACTTGTGCTTATTGACCATCATTTTAACTTTGACATGTTAAACTCTTAAGCTGCTTTGTAACATGAAGACTAGAATGTGTAGTTGGGATATACATGAGGAAATGGTATTTCTGATTTAAGAGAAGACAACCCCGGGAGTTCTTTTGCACAAAATATGAATATCATAAAGAAATAAGTATTCTCAGCTTTAGTGGTTTATAATTTGGCAAAATTAAAGGAATTTACTTTACAGCAAAAGGAATATCTTTAAAGAGGAGAGTTGTACAGAATTCTGAAAATAATGACAAAAATTTTGAACGTTATGAAGCATCAGGCAGGCACCAGTGCAAATGAGAGAGGTGCCTTTATAGAAATGTGGGGGTTTTATGAATCTGGAASTATTGCTATTGAGAGCATTAAGCTTTTTTTTTTTTTTTAAATTAGTGTATTATCTAGAGACAAAATACTTTTCATTGTATGCCATTATGTAATTTGGAACATATAATTGGAAGACTAAAATTCAAGATGTTTACACAAAATATACCTAAAAGGCAATTTAATTTTGGCTATTTAATAAACATGTCACAATCAAGGTAGCAAAATGGTCTTATCTGTTGGTAAGGATGGAAATGGGAAGAAGCGAAGCAGTCACTAGAGTTCCTCTGTCAGCAACAGGGCAGAACTCCAGTAAGGAACACTGTAAGAAAGGAGATGTACATGAGAGATAATCAAGCTAAGAATGAAAGACTTTAAAGGTTCCAAATTCTCTTCCACATTTAATTAAGAACTGCCTCGAATAAATAGGTTTCAGTTCCTTTTCTAACAAGCRGGATAAAGCTGTGTACTTTTTGGGATGGTGCCATAACAGAAGAGCATAATTGTCATTTATTTTTAAAATTATTTTAAAAAACTGAAAAAATTAACATTTTAGACAATTATTTTATTGCTGTGTCTGTAAACCAAAAAGGCGCTAAAAGAATGAACCATCTTTTAGTCCACTGAACAATGTTATCCCAATTATACAAACTTTGAGACAGGCTTGGAATATATTATTCAGATCTAAATAGCTTTTAACTTTGTGTTTGTAACAGTAATTATGTTTGTGCTCATTACACACCAAAATAAGCAATTTACCATTGAAGTTAATCTGTATTAGGGTAAATTTAGTGTGTTTTAAATTAATATAAAATATGTCCTTTGTGGTCATTGGTGTAATGAGCAGAACCTAATTTCAAAAGCTAATGTCACTATGCTAAAACTATTCTGAAGAATGTT